AGCCACTCCTCGGAAGGAAGATGGGGCAATCTACTTCCGTAGTGATACTGCCTCAGAAACCCAAGGAGGGGTCTCTATGAGTCAGGTCCAACTCGACAGCACATAACAACAACAACAAGGAAGAGTAACACAAATAATTAAATGTATCCTTTTCCCATAATTTCTCTTGAAAGGGATAATTTTAAGTGTGAAGACCAAGGGGAGGTGAAGCATTCTATTTTATTTTTTAATGTCTTAGACTTTATTTGAGTAAATAATATTGTGAAGAATATACAATTATTTGCCCTCCAAATGTGTATTTTCTTCCTTTTTACCAATATAGTTCAATGAAATCTATTGGTCTTAAAATTCACTAGCCCAAATTACTCTGTCCAGGTATCAGAGACAAAATTGAGAAGGTAGCAATGGGAAGCAAATTTCTTTCATTCAGCTTAGGCAATGGAGAATTGCTGGGGATAAAATGACTGAAGTTAAATCCAGTAATCAGCCCTATTCCCACCATCCCCTCCCAACTCATTCCTCAGCTCAGAAGGATCCAATGAAACTTTACACAGCACATTCAAATACATTTGCCCTGCTTTGTTAATGCAATTTTATTTTGGAGAGAAAACCTCAGGATTTTGATAGGAGCTGATCTTCAGATCCTACCTCCTATTCCCAGCTACCCTATAGAGGTGGTACAGTGAAGCCTTGGAGTAACTAAAATAAATCTGATCAGAAGAATTCCTTGCTTCCTTCCCTCCTCCAAAATTGGATTGGTTCAGGGTTTCAGCATTTAGAAGAACTAGAGCTCACGCCAGTATACTCTTGAGCCTGAAATGCCCTCAGAAAGACCAAAAAAAGATGAAATTTCATTGGACTGTATATAGGATGGGATTGCTTTCTCTCACAACAGAACAGTGATGCTCAGGAATTCCTCATCCAAATCCAAAATGTCACTTATGCCCCATATGGAAAATAGCATGAGTCAAAAAACTGTGCAATTTGCTTTGTTTATTTTAGTGCCAATTAGCATCTCTCGTGTCATTTATAACTAATTCCTTCTCTCTTTTCTTAGCAGTATAGAACTTTCAGAGTCCTCACAGACAACTTTGTGCAAGTAAAAAGTAAATTTTACATCTACATGACATTGAACAGAAACTGCTTGAATTTAAAAGTATATGTGTCCTTAAAGACCCTACTGGAACCATTGATCTGGCTATTCCCATTATTATCATTTCCCTCCTGTAATGATCAGACTTTTTCTGTAATGCTGTAGATTTCTTTTGTAACAGCTGCATTAAAGCTGACATTCTAAAGCACTTGGTTTGTGGAAGGCTGCGGTCTATACAAGGAGCCCTAACTCCTTCTGAGTTTTCACATCAGTTCAGATACCATTTGAGTTCTTTGCATTACTTTCCCAGTGCTTTCTGGCCATTAAACCAATAATGTGGTTATGCTTAGACAAAGCTGGGGCAAAGCCCAGGGAGGGGCAGTTTGCCCTCAGGAAGACTGTGGTTGAAAGTAGATTACAATTCCCAGGCAAGTCCTGTGTCTAGAGGCACATCATCGTGCATGCTTAAATAAGAGCAAAAGAGGTTTATTGAGGGATGGATATGGTGCAATAGAATCTGGAAATTGTCAAACAATATCATTAGTATCACATGCAAGTAAAATTTTGCTGAAGATAATTCAAAAATGTGTACAACAGTATACTGAGAGGGAATTTGCAGAAATGCAAGCTGGATTCAGAAGAGAATGTAGAACAAGGGATATCATTGCTGATGTCAGCTGGATCTTGACTGAAAACAAAGAATACCAGAAAGATGTTTACTTGTGTTTCATTGGCTATGCAAAAGCATTTGATGTATGGATCATAAAAAAATTATGGATAACATTGAGAAGAATGGGAATTCCAGAACACCTAAATGTGTTCATGAGGAACCTGTACATGGACTAGGAGGCTGTCATTCTAACAGAGCAAGGGAATACTGCATGCTTTAAAATCAAGAAGGGAGTGTGTCAGGGTTGTATCCTTTCACCATACTTATTCAATCTGCATGCTGAATAAATAATCCAAAAGCTAGGCTATATGAAGAAGAACATGACATCAGGATTGGAGGGAGATTTATTAACAACATGCAATATGCAGATGACTCAATCTTGCTTGCTGAAAGTGAAGATGACTGGAAGTGCTTACTAATGAAGGTTAAGGACTACAGTCTTCAATATGGATTATACCTCAACATAAAGAAAACGAAAATTCTCACAACTTGGTCTATTAGCAACATCATGATAAATGGAGAAAAGATTGAAGTCGTCAAAGATTTCATATTATTTGGATCCACAATCAACACCCATGGAAATAGCAGTCAAGAAATCAGACATTGTATTGCACTGGGAAAATCTGCTACAAATGACCTCTTTAAAGTATTGAAGAGCAAAGATGTAATTTTGAAGACAAAGATGCACCTAACGCAAGCCATGGTGTTTTCAATCGCCTCATATGCATGTGAAATCTGGACAATGAATAAGGAAGACTGAAGAAGAGTTGATGCCTTTGAGTTTTAGTGTTAGTGAAGAGTACTGAAAATACTATGGACTACCAGAAGAACAAACAAATCGGGCCTGGAAGAAGTACAGCTGGAATGTTCCTTGGAAGTGAGAATGGCCAGACTTCATCTCATATTCTTTGGTCATGTTGTCAGAAAGGACCATACCCTGGGGAAGATATCATACTTGGTAAAGTGGAGGGTCAGTGAAAAAGGCGGAGACCCTTGACAAGATGAATTGGCACAGTGGCCGCATCAATGGGCCCAAAAATAGAAAGGATTGTGAGGATGGTGCATGACCAGGCAGTGTTCGGTTCTGTTGTACATAAGGTCACTGTGAGTTAGAGTCAACTCGATGGTACCTAACAACAGCACAACAGAGATGGTCCAGACAGGGCAGATGTCCAGATACACAGAGTGAAAATGGCCACTCAACCAGTCATTGAGGAAGAAAACATTTTTGTAGAGTTGGAGGAAAAATCCAAAACCAAAAGTTGGAGGAGGAGCTAAAAATTACAAAATCATAATTGGCTGAAAGACCATCAGGGGAGTAAAAAAAAAAAAACAAATGAAAACCAAACTCACTGCTGTAGAGTTGGAGCCAACTCATAGCAACCCTTCCCTGGGTTTCCATGGTGTATGACTATGGAAGTAGATTGCCCAACCTTCCTTCCCAGGGGAGTCAAAGAAGGATATCCAAAAGCAGGATTTTAACACATAAGTGAGATTACATGATTGGTTAAGGGTACATAATTGCAAGCATGGGGCTCTTCAGTTTATTGCAGAATGGTCACAGGGCAATGACAGGACAGGTTTTTTGGGTAACCTGTTATAAAAATTACGTTGTCAGTCATGGCTGTTTCTGGGATATCATTGTAAAGATTTATCAATAATGCTGTGTATCAATGCTCTTTAGGTATAAGCTATCACATCTTGTGTCCATTTGACCATAGTCAAACAGACC